CACTGGGGAAATGCAAAACACCACACACCTATTAGAGTGGCTTAAAAAAAACAAGCCCAAAACAAACAAAATCCCCACCAAACCTGATAATACCAATCGCCGGGAAGTATTTAGAGTAACACAAACTCTCATTTGTTGCTGGTGGGAATTGGAAATGGTGCGATCCAGCAATTACACTCTTTGATATTTATCCAGTTAATTTGAAATCTTATGTCTACACACACACATACACAAACAGCACACAAACGTTTATAGCAGCTTTGTTTATAACGATCAAATCTGAAAGTAACTAAGATGTCCTTCAGCAGGTGAATGGGTAGACAAACTGGTACACTTGGGCAATGAAATAGTATTCATCCAAAAAGAAAAAAAAGGAATAAGCCTTCAAGCCATATAAAGACGTGGATGAATCTTAAATATACATTGCTTAGTGAAAGAAGCCAGTCTGAAAAGGCAACATATGTGTGATACCTCCCCGACTTTTTTTTTTGACATTCTGGAAAATGTCAAAAAATTCCGGGAAGGGTAAAACTACAGAGGTGGTAAACAGACCAGTGGTTTCCAGAGGTGTGAGAAGAGCAGAGGGTTGAGCAGGTGAAGAACGTGGGATTTTTAGGGTGGTGAAAGTGTTCTGTATGATACTGCAATGTTGGATACATGCCACTGTGCATTTGTGAAAACCCATAGGACTTCACAACACTAAGAGGAAACCTTAGTATATGCAGATTTTAAAAATTCATTGTGGATATTAAGGGCTCCTAGAATGGAATGCAGAACATAACAAAGGAACCTAACTATATTATAAATGTGTGAAACAACCTAACTGAGGAGGGTGAGGGAAAGATGCTGGCCTTGGGAGATGAGGGGGCCTGAAAGACTAAAGACAAAAGGAACTATATAAAAGCACTCTGCGCTGATAAAGTTGTTTCCCAAGGGGGATGGGTAGCAAGTCTGGAATCATTATACGTGTACACTGGGACTGAACAATTATGGAAATGGATGGCAGATGGTGGGACCCAGGTTTCTCCCACTGTTGGTGTGGGAGGTTTCAGACAAGCAAGGGAGAAGGCTAGAATGATCCATATGGCAATGGATTGGGGTTGGAGACATTGGTATGAACTTATATTTGGTTTAATATAGGTACAAATGGTTACATGTAGAAATATTTATGGATATGTGTATGTACATGACTTAGTGTACACACACATGAACACACACTTCCTCGCTCTACCATCTGAGAGGACCTAGAAGCAATGATGCCTCAGTAGCACAAGAACATCTAGCTCCCAGGTCTTGGTTTCTAATACCATTATCTAATAAAAGGAACCAAGGCTCCCTGGAGAAATTATTGGTTTCAAACTGGGCAAGAAATAAACAGGATAAGCCTGTAGCATCTTTTAGTTCCAGAAAGTAAGCAAGTGCTCAAACGAACAAACCAAAACAAAGCTGGGGGCGTGTCGAAGCCAGCTCTCAGTGGCCAAAGCTGGAACAATTTGAGCAGCGAAATAAATAACATAGTATTGGATTATAACCCAAAGTATAAAATAAATATCCATTCTGATGTAAATAAATGATGGAATAAATAAACAGGGGGGACTAGGCAAACCTCCTGCGCAGAAGAATTCCAAATAATCTATGTAGATATTTTGTCCTCAGGAAGGTGGAGCACAGCTGCCTGCTTCCTTCCATAGCAACTTCCTTTCAAAGTTTGAGGTGATAGTATTATTTATTATTTATGATAAATATTATTTATGTAGCCAATTCTCTATTGATGGGCTTTTTTTTTCCTGTTCTTTTGCTGTAAACAGAAACAGTGCTTTGGTGAACCGTTGTACACGTCCCTCTACACGTCTGTATTTTCATGAGCTAAATATTCTAGGGAGGATGTAACTTTAATACCTTGAAAGGTATATATTCAAGTGGTTCTTCAATATGGTTCTATGAATTTATACCCCTACAAACAGTATATAAAAGTACCAATTTTTCTACCCACAAGGGTAGAGAAATTCTCTTTAATAAAAAAAAGACCTTTTACTAATTAAGAGTTAAAGGACAGGTGTCCCGACAGAAAGATGGATGAAGGACCTGAGCAGGTAATCCAGAAGGCAAATAGTACAAATGGCCTATAAATATCTGAAAACAAAAAAACTGGAAAAAAAAAGTGCAACAAATGTTAACTGGGTAATCATGAAAAAAAATGCAAAATAGAAAAATGAGACATTATTCTGTCCTTTAGGTTAGTAATGAAAAAAGAGCTCTAACAACTGCTCTTGGCCCATGTGTGGGAACAAGGATCTGCTCAAACTTGTTGATGTTGATGAATAAACAAATAGACCCTTTGGAGGCCAAGGTTTTTAACATATACTTTTGAAAAAAAGATACACATACTTTTGTTTATGCCACCTTACAGGAATTTATCCTCAGACCTTAATTAAAAGTGTGTATGTATAAATGCTGTTCACCACAGCATTGTCTGTTACAACAGAATAATCAGAAATAAACTGTCCAAAAATAGGTTACTTAATGATGATACATCCCTAAGATGAAACGCTTGGCAGCTGCTGAAAAATACATTGACATTCTTATATATTTAAACAGGCATTGTGATTGTATGATTAACGTGTACCAATTTAACTGAAAAAGACAAACATATATTCTGTGGCTAGAAGGACATATGTTCTAAGACATGGCAAACATGTTCCAAGATAAGGACACATCGCACAGTGTTTATCATGGGGGTCTGTCTGTGAGAACAGGGTTGCAAGTGATTTCTGTCTTTTGTGTTTTTCTCTCTTTCCCTTGTTTTCTGCATTAAGCTTCTCTTTAAATTTTGTAGTTAAAAAACAGCTAGAAAATGTTCAAAACTATGCTGATTCTACCTTTGTTGTGTCTTTCTTATCTACCCCTTCCCTCCTGTCTCCTTCAACGTGGCTCTAGCTCAGGCCTCCCATCTCTCACTTAAACCATTGCATCAGCTTCCTGATGGATGTCCCTGCCCTAACAAAAGGGTCTAACCTGTCACTCCTGTGATCAGAAGCCTCCGGAACTTTCCCTGTGTAGCATAGTGTCCTGGGTCCTTCTTGTCCCCCTGTTGCCACAGACCCCCACAGTCTGGCCCTCACTTACCCTTCCAGCTTCAGTCTCCCTCCCCACGCCCTCCCCGCAGAGCACCTGCAACACCCGTCTGTCCTGTCCCGTTGGCCTACTCAGCTCTCTCTGGTCTCTTTTTACCTGTTGAAAGTCTACCCATCTTTCAACGCCTGCCTCCTCTAAGAAGCCTCCTTCTGTCATTACCTCCCCCATAGCTCAATTCACTTGGTTTGAACTTCTTTGATGGCCATGATCACCAGCTGCCTTTTAGTATAGTGATTTCTGGAGGATCCTGCTTCCTCCTTTGGTGTCCTTCATATCAGTCAAGGACTTACAGGATCTGGACTCAGGGTGCCTGGAGCACACAGTAAGGGCTTCGTGAAAGTTTTTGTACGGAACTGATGAGAATTGCCTCTGTCCACCATGTGCTGCAGATCAGAGTCCACTCTGCCTTGTTCCATAATTATGTGTTAAATATGTGTGATTTGGGGGCATGTAAGAATCTATTAAATTATACATATAAACTATCACACTTGAGATTTATGTGGCATAAAATTGTGCATGTATTAAAATATAAGGTTTATGGGCATATCATTTACTATTCAGAAAAATCTTTCTTCTATAACTGGCTAGTAAACAGTTCAGTCTGAATTTAATTTTAGGCAATTCCTTGGAAAAAATGATTCTGTGGAAACCCAGGCATGCCCTGGAGGCAACCACAGATAATTATGCAGAAAAAAACACTTTTCTATAGAATTCCTGCTTTGATTCTTTGTTAATCTTTTCTTTCATTGAAAAGTGACAGTATTTCAGTGAAGAGAATACATTTGGTGGCAGCAGTGAACATGCTTTGTTAACTGTGGAATATCCTTAACTATTTTATTCTTTGTAAAACTGGGAGGTTTTAGACGCCTAGCCTTCCTTTTCATTCCACCCCCACCCCCATACTCGGCCCCTCTCCGCCGTTCTTTGCGGTGCTGTCTTTGCACTCGTGGGCATCCGTGTTTCACAGAGAGCTGTTAGTATTGTACTGAAACAAAAACAGGAAAGCCAGCCACTTCCAGTGTTTCTTGGCATGAAGCCCCTTCTGTGTTTCACTGAGGTGTCACACGAGTCAACTAGACATTGGTAGATGACTTTCTTGTTCCCACCGAAGGACCCCGGGCCTGGGGGAATATTGATTTTTGTAAAAGATCAAGCATGAATGATGTTCTGAACCAGAAGTACAAGTATACTTTTTTGGCATATCCTGTCTCCAGAAAAACATGCCCCGTTACCTGCAGTCCTTTTGGAACTTTGAAAGACCCTTTAAAAAAAATCATTTAAATGATTGGGCAACCCTCTCCTAGAAAATTAATTTTGTTGCAGTTGTGTGAATATTCGTGAATCCTTCTTGTCTTGGGTCTGTCTGGGGATATGGGTCTCACGGGTGGTACTGCCAGCATGCATATCTCTTTGCCTGGCCATCTGTTTGTCCCGCCATCTATCCATCCATCTGTCTATCATCCATCCATCCATCCATCCACACATTGATCCATCGTCTCCCCACAACTGGGATCATTCTGAGCAGGAATCCTGTCTGATTCATCTCAAAATTCCCTGCTGCAACTTCAGAGAGACCCATATGTCATGGAGGCCCAGTAAGTGCCCTAGATGATGATGGAGGTGCTTACTTCTCTCAGCCCTCAGGACCGTGTGTGTTGGTGTGTGTCAGCTGGTGCTGAGAGTAGGTGGCCCACTTGCAGGGCTGGGTGTCATAAATGGGCCCTCACCCTCACATAACCCTCCAGTGTGTTCTCCCAGCTCCCCAACCTCTTGGAAATCCCTTAGAAGTGGTGGGCAGGGCAGCTTGGGTGGTCCCGCGTTTAACAGTTTTTCTGGGATGTGTGTGTCTGTGTTTGACTCTACAGGTCAGTTTTTGGGTTGTACGAGAAATTCTAACAGCACAGACTTTAAAAATAAGGGCAGAAATCCTGAGCCATTTTGTGAAAATAGCCAAGGTAAGTGGGTTTTTTTTTTTCCTTTCCTTTCCTTTCTCTTTTTGTCTCAAAAATCTGTTTCCTGAGTTCTTTGGGAGCTGATTTGCACTGGACCTGCTGGGCAGAGTTCAGACAGGGAACTGTGACCTGACTTCCCCAGAGGCAGCTGTGGACCAGCCTGCTGCCCGCTTGGCCTCCCGGCCCTGGTGCACATGTAGGCACATGCCCTCCACCCCGTGATTTTGGCAGCCAATGCTTCTCTTCAGCTGGCCTTTCACAAACTCTCCACGAGGCCCCAGGGGCTACCCTTGGGAGCCATTTATCCTTCTATTAAGATGTGCTGTCACTGGAGATTTTAGTTAGCATCAGTGTTTGCGATACCATCACATCCTGCACAGTTCTATCTCCAGTCAGCAGAACTCACCCCACCCCATCCTGCATTTAAGGCCTGGGCCCGATGACTGGGCTGCCCCCAACTCCCACCGCCTGACCCTAGCCTGATAGGGTCGGTCCTTGCCAGTTGTTCGGCACCAGGCTCATGTCTTTACCCCACCTTTCCCCTCCTCTTCCCTCATCTCTACCGGCCCAGGCTGTGATCCCATGGGCCTTCCTGGACCACTCTCATCACTTACATGGTCTTGCCAGCTCCTTGCAGTATCCTGCTCCCGACCACTGGGCTTGCAACTCAGCAGAGCACTGTTCTGCCTGGTTCACGACCTGCTTCGTGTGTGTGTGTGTTGTCTTCCCACTCAAATCCTAGGTCAGCTAAACTTTACTGAGGTCCCTTTTAAGCCAGGTGCCATAGCAGCTGCTTTACAGAAATGATTGTACTCTATGCTCACATTATTGTTACCCCATTTCCAGAGGAGGGAAGGGAGGCTTAGAGAGGTGAGTGTCCCCACCCAGGCGCCACAGTGAGTCAGGTGGAGCACGGCTCTCTACCTTCAGGGGAGCTGCTCTGCTGCTCCTCGTGCGAGATGAAGTGCGTGGGCACCTTGGTGTCCTTGCATTCTGAGTGCTGGAACCGTGCTGGGCTTAGTGACACTTGTTGCTGTCGGGGAGTTCATGCCGGGCCAAGAGAGGAAGTGAGATGAAGTTCCGGTCCACCGGGTGCTTTCAGTTTGAATTAGTTTACAGTTCCCACCCAAGTGATCCCAAACGATTCCTCCTTAATTTCTGCCATCTTCCAGTGGCGGATCATCATGCTGGCACTGTGTCCTGGGTGTGTTCTGTGCAAGCCCCCTCCTTTCTCTGGGCCTTGGTTCCCCATCTATAAAATGAAAGGAGTGGATTGGATAATCTCCCAGAGAACTTTCAGCTCTAAAAGATGTCCTGTGACAGGCATGGCAATTCAGATACAAAGGATGAAATTCAGTTCACCCAGAGGATCTGTTCTTTCACATAGGAAACAATTAGGGAATGTTACAAGATGCATGAAATGAAGTATTAACTTGTGTGGTAAAGGAAGAAATCTCCGCGTGGGAACGGAGCTGTGAGGACCAGGCATAAGGGCTTTTCATTCATTTGTTCTTTTTACTGGGCCCTGCTTTGTGCTGTGCTAGGTCCTAGGGATGTGCTGGTAGACACACCTTCATCCCTGCTCTCAGGGAACGCATGGTCCAGGGTGAGAGGGGGCAGGTAAAAGCAAATACAGTCCAGTGTGCCAAGGAGATGTGCAGGCAGGTGTGGGAACGCACAGGTGGGGGAGCATGGTCAGGAAAGACATACTAGAGGGAGTGGCCTCTGAGCTTGGAAGTCCCCACGGCAAGTGATGGAGGGTGGGGTGGGGTTGGGGACAGTCTTCCTGACAAAGAACAAGTAGCCCACATCACACTGAGCGCTCACCCGGGTGCTAGGCACTGGTCTGGGCAGTTTAGGGCACTGTCCCACGTAGTGGAGGTGCCAGGAATTCCCTTCCTCGTTTTAAATATGAAGACGTCAAGTCTCAGAATGATTAGGTAACTTGCCATAGGACACAGAAGTACTGGGAACTGGGATTGGGACCTGTGGCGCCTGCTGGCTACACAGACTTCCCAGGCTCCCGAGAGTGAGAAGTGGGGCCCCGGTCCTGTGAGCAGGTTTCCTTCAGCATAAAACCAAGAACAGAGCAGTCACGTTTTTCTGCGTTTACTCTCGCCCATGTCTCCTTCTGTTGCCCTCCACGGGAAGGAGCTTGTCTGAGATGGAATGAAACCCAAATGTTCTCACTAATGTAGGGTCTGGTTCAAAGGAGCGTGGTCTAGTGGCTGGAGCTCCGTCTTCCCAGCTGAGGGGGATCGTGCAGATTGAGAGCATCTTCCCTCCGCCTCCCTCATTCCGGTGTTACGGTAATCCCAGAAGGCCCACGCTGACACTGTTGGCACAGCCGGGGCCTCAGTTTACAGAAGCCTGCTGGGACAGCTCAGATTCACCTATTAAAAGAGCAGAAAGGATATTATCAGCCCTCACCCCGACCCATGTTTCTGTCCAGCAGCCAGACTAGTCAGCTTAGGAAATTCTGCAAATGTTTCACATGCAGACTCACCTTTAGACAATTTGAAAGAAAAAGAGCATATGGTTTCTATGAACTTCCTAGAGCTGTATTTTCTACATGAGATATTTTTAAGTTTGATTGAATTTCATAAATATGACAACATTTGGTGACACTTGAGCAGGTTTGTGTTCTGTTGTTTATAGCAGCAAAATAATCTACCCCATATCTTTTCTTTTCCAGAAACTTCTAGAACTCAACAACCTTCATTCTCTCATGTCTGTGGTGTCCGCGTTACAAAGTGCACCCATCTTCAGGCTGACAAAAACCTGGGCTGTAAGTTAATCTTCCTAGGTCTGTTTCTTTGATTTGATTTCTTTGGTGAAGTTCTTCGTTCCTTAAGCCCCAGAAGGCTTTCTCTGTCCTTGGCCGACGACAGAGGATTACTGTGGGTTAATGAAGTGCTCCCTGGGCATCCTCTCTTCCTCAGTGACCTCATCCCCATTTTGGGACAAGGAAATTGTGAGGCTACCAATGTGGCTGGGGTTGGAAGGCCGCCTAGAGTGGACCTTTCTGGACCTGACAACATCATATGTGATGGCTAGGTCAGTGGCATGACTTCTGCCCTGTGCTCCGACCTGCCCTTGGGAAGTTTTCTTGGGCTAATGGTTTGCAGCTGCCCTGGGTTGCTGGCCATCCAGTTAAGAGTTTCTCTGGAGAAACCTGTGACCCTCATGTAGGGAAAAATGATTTTTTTTATCCTGAAGGCCATGGATAATTTCAGCTCAGAGGTGGAGCCTGATAGTTATATAATTGAGTCTGTAGGAAAGTTTTTCTGCTGTAAAAATACTTTAAAAATATCTCAGACCTCTTTCTCCTCCTTAGCTTGGCACGGTGCCTGACATGGGGGAAGTAATTGCTATTTCCATAGCTTGTTAGCATTCACCTCCGGCCCGCCTGGTCCGGGGTCTCTCGCAGTCACACAGCCCAAGCCTTTCAAGATCTGTTTATGTCCCACGGAACCGAAGGAAACTATATGGAATTGTCAGCTGTGTTTCTGCAACTCATTTCTGAACTTCTTTCTGCCAGTCTGTGGGGCTGGGCTGTGTTGCAGACTTGGCTGGTTCAGGGGCCTTTAAAAGACTTACGGATTATGTTGTAGGTGATCAGAATTGAGTCTCGTTTCTTTAAATTGCCATTTTCCATAGATCAGGCCCCAGCAAAGTGGAGCAAGAAGTGTTAGTCTGGAGTCAGAAAACCGGGTTTGCATTCAGGCACCGTGCAGGGTGATTCTGTCTACGCAGAGAGGTTGGCCTGGATTGGTGGCTCTCCATCGGTGCTTCGTGGAGGTTCCTTGGAGCTGCCTAGGGGCCAGCAGGGGCTGAGGGAGAGGAGGGAGGGCGCCGAGCAGACTGCCTGGGCATGGTTTCCACCGGAGCAGCTCTATTTCTATCGGTTTTACGTCCTGGACTTCAGGGTGAACTTCAGTTGAGCAATGGCTTTGGAGGTTGAAAGCAGGTTTGGAAGCCACTGGTCTCTGTGGTTGCTGCCAGCTCTGTGATTCCCTGAGTCCATCTGAGCCGTGAGGCTTTTTTCAGAAGTTGCTTGGAGATTCTTTTTCATGTGAGTTTTTCATCATTTAGACACTGCTGTTGTTTCTGGGACTGCCAGGAGCCACGTGTGGACTCGGAAGAATGAATGACGATTCTCAGGGTGCACAGACCTTTCTGTCAGTAACACCAGGACTCTCAGTGACCCATATAAGCTGCACAGTGGGTGAGGGCATCAGGGAGCCAGCCCATGGGGCTGGGGTGGCTAAGGGTCCCACACAGGGATGCCACCCACGCAGGGTTGGGCAGGGCCCATGCATGAGGCTTTGGCCAGCGTTCCCACAGATGCTGTGCTCTGCCCAAGACGGTGAGGCAGTCTTCAGGCCAGAACAGCACCTGCGACTGCTCCACGTGGCTTGACAGAGTACCGCTCCAGGGTGGCTGAGTTGCCCCTGCTATTGCTGCAATGAAAATAATGAAATAATAATGAAAATAAATCTCCCACAGCTCCTCAGAGAGCCTGGAATGAAATATCTACTCAGGACCCATTTCACAGCATGAGCTTCCTCACCTGACTCCCTTCCAGGCCACGCAAGTCGACTCTTCTTCCTTACAGATTTGCCAGGCATGTGCAATTGTCAGTGTTACAGATGAGGAAACAGGGGCACAGAGAGGTGGGATGACTTATGCAGGGATCCCCAGCTAAGAGGCAGAGCTGGAGTCAAACCCAAGCAGCCTGGTTCCAGAGTCCCCTCTCTTAACACCACACCCCATGCAGCTCAGCAAGGACAGTTCCAGCTACCTCTTGTCACTCAAAACAAGAGAGGGGTCCTGTTTATTTTTTGGTCTCCTTTATGCAAAGTGCTCCAGTGGGAATGTTGAAGATGGGATGTCAGTGCTGCCCCAGGCCGTTGAGCCTCTGACCTGGCTGTGGCTGCTGCTGGCCTGGCAGCTGGTCCTACTTTGGAGCGCATCCTACTTCTGCTGTTAATTTCTGGTAATGAGATTAGCTGGAGAAATGTTGCCAGAAAAGAACTGTTTACCCCCTCCTCACTTGTCTCTTGATCTGGGAAAGGGAAGTCAGAGGAGGGAACTTAGGGAGGGGGCACATGGCCAGTGAGCCGGAGGGCTGCAGCCAAGCCTTGAAGCTGCCTTTTGGCCACTTTTTCCTTGGTTAGTCCATGGCTTCTGTTGTTCCTCTAGTCCCCCAGGGCTGGCCACTGACCTGGACATCTCAGGCTGGTGGGAACCAGGGAGAGGACAAGAAGCTGAGATTATGTGTCACCAAAGGACAGGGGTCCTAGGGCAGCCACACATCTGTTCTTTTTCTGAGAAATCTCCCCATTGCCTCCTAAGCTCTGAGAGCCAGGGCTGTTTCCTTGGGTGCAGGGGACCACTTACCAGGGCAGAAGGCGGGGAGATGCAGTGTCTTAGGCGATAAGAATGGCAACTGCCAGCCGTTGTGTCAGGGAGAGAGGAGGTGACACACAATGTGTGATTACAGCGTGTCATCTCCAAGGTCAAGTGTGGGGAGCTGTTTATTCTGGCAAACCCACTATTCAGTCTCTGTTTCATACCAGACTCTCCACTTTTGCCCACCTGTCCTGTTAGTCCAAGGACAGTGGTTGGTGCAGAGGATTTGGAAAATGGAGGGGGCCAAACCCACCATCTTTCTCCTTCATCCGAATACCCCCAGCCCAGTGGAATCGATGACTCCAGTGTATTCCTGTTACTCTCTCTCCCCGAGTCCTGACAGAGCACACAGGGCATCTGCTCTGCAGGGTTGTTTACAGGTCTGCCTGCACCTTTGACTTCCTTCCTCCATGACGAAGTCTGATTTTTTTCTCTATGTTCCTGGTGCCCAGCTGAGTATATGGTTGTTGTTTGAATCGTGTATGTTTGTTGTGCTGAATTGCATCCTTCTTTTGCTACTAATTTCTGGTAGTGAGATTAGCCATAGAAATGTTGCTGTTTCTCCCCTCCCCGTCTGGCCCTTGATCTGGGACTGGTGAGATCTATGGGCTCACAGAGCACGGAAGAGCAGACACATCAGCCATAGCAACCGAAGGTCAGTGCTTTGTAGTCTTGGTTTTGCCAAGAAGGTTCCAAGAGTTGCAGTGATCTGTGCAAGGTCAGGGGGCTGGTGAATGACAGAGCCAATGTGACGTAGCCTTGTCTTGCTGAACACATAGTCCTTGTTCTTGGCCAGTGCGCTGGATGGCTTGTCTGTGATGGGCCCTGGTGTTGGAATCAGGCTGGGCACAGGACAGGGAAAGATAGGCACACCTAATTCTTGGGAAGCGGGGCTGGAGAAGTGAGGCTGGCACAACAGACCCCCTGGAGACAGGGTGTGGCCAGCTCCCTGAGTGCTGTCCCTGGGGTTGCATAGAAACCCTGGATATCAGGGAAACCTGGATGGAAGGGGGTCACATCAGGTGGGAGGAGACCTGTCACTTGGTTTCACCATGGATGGCCTTCTGTGAGGGCCAGTTGGTGACTAGCTGACGGGCAGGGCAGTCTGTTGGCCTGTCCGTGGCCAGCGCTGAGCACCAGCAGCTGGGTGAGCTGGGACAGGAGAGGGGCTGACATCGAGCCTAGGCCCGCATGTAGTAGGCCCTCAGTAAACACCGGCTGGATGCACAGACATGGAGGGAATCACTTTCTGCTGGCCTGGAAAAGCACAGACAGGGTCTGATTTATCCCAGCACTGGGGCCACTCTGGAATATTGGCTTCCTCGAAGCCGTGACACCTAAGCAAGAAGCCCTGGCGGCCAGTTCAGATTTCCCAAGCACACGTACCATGTGGCTCTTATTCATCCTGCAAATCAAATATTTATCAAATGCCTCCTCCATGCCAGGCCCTGAGGCTACAGTCAAGGCCCCTGTCTTCATGGGCTTTTATGTTATCCAGGGGAGACAGACACATTATTGAGGGAGAACAAACAGGTGCCTCGTCTGACTGGCACAAGATGTGACGGATAGCACGTTTGTTAACTGCATGGAGTGATGAACAAAGGGCTGTCAGATGGGAACGAAAGTGATGCCAGAGACCAGGACGTGATGGGGAATGACTGGGCGTTCGGGCAGCCTCTCTGAGAAGATGCCCTTTAAACTGAGACCTGAGTGACAAAAAGGAGCCAACCACGCCAAGATGAGGGCACAGCCAGTGCAGAGGCCACGGTGGAAGAGACTCGGAGCCTAATGTGGCCGGAGTGCAGCGGGCCTGGTGGGAGGGGCTGGTGAGGATGCTGTGGTCAGGCAGCAGGGCCCATTGGGAAGGGCTCAGCTGGGAGAGGAGATAGGTTCTAGTTCAAGTATAGTGAAGGGTTTTAAACAGGAGACAGATGTGATCTGGTTTACAGTTGCTTTTTGTTTTTTAAATTACTGTTTCTACTGTGTGAAAAACAAATTGGGTAGGGGTGCCTGGGGGAGCAAGAGTGGAAATGAGGCCACGTTAGAGGGTTAGGGCAGAATCCAGGAGTGAGTTGATGCTGGCTAGCACTGGAGAGGTGGCAGTGGACATGGAGAGAAAGAGACTGTTAAGGGAGGTGTTGAAGACAGTTGGCAGGATTTATGAGGGACGGATGTCAGAAATGAAGAAAAGAAAGAAATGAAGGGTGGTTCCTAGGTTTGGGGCCTGAGCAGCTGGGAAGAGGGTGAAACCTTTTCTCTAATCAGAGTGGTCCTAAGAGGAGACTGGCTTAAACAGGAGTGTGACCTGGGGGTATGGAATTCCTGGAGTGTGTGTGAGTCACTCATTAGAGTATAATCACCGTTGTGTGCTGT